GGTGTGAGGGCACTCTGTGTGAAGTCAGCTCGCACAGCGCTGTCACTGGTAGCCATTCTGAGGGGAGGCGGTTGTCAATTTAACGACTTGTTCGGCCGAGGTTCGCGTTCAGCAAAGCCACGGAGACAGCGTTGATTGCCATCCTTTGGGATTGGAGGCTCAGCTTCTGATGATCCCGGTCAACGAGGGGTGGGACACGGCCAGAAATTCAAGGTGGATCTCGTGACGTGTCTTCTGATCCTGTAGCTTAGGAGGGTCCGGGCATGTTATGTCACGTCGTTCTGTGGCATGTGCTTCCAGTGTCAGTACGAAAGTAGAGGGGCGAGAAATGGTCAGGTACTGCGCAGAACTGCAGCCGAGATGCCGTGAGCCGAAATTGGCATAGACAAGGCTCAATCCTTAGCCCAGCGAATCCTTTCCGAGTTGAGGAAGAGGGAGAGGCCTCGAGGCATTCTGGCTACCTTCTGGAGCGTGCCAACTCGAATCCGAGTCTCCGAGTTCGCGCTGTGCCTTGTAGAGCGCTGCAGTCGTGTAATGTGGAGCCTGTGCAGGAGCTTTCACCGGAACGGCACACCTAAGCGGTCTCGTCGAACATCCTCACTGAGCCCCTCAGAGCTGAGGAATGCTGAGAACAATGCGGCCTTGAACGCAGATGGAGACGTTGCCGGACCTACTTTGCAAAGCGCACAAGGCGGTCATTACCAGGGGAAAGCTGAACACCCGCACTAGGGCGACTGCCGCAAGTATCTCTGTACGTAGCCTTCCGTCTCCTGCAACGGCAGACCGCTTCGCGGCACTTCGTGGCACTGGCTCTTGCGCCTTGCGCACGGCGGCCGCTGGCGGGAAGATCCAGCGACTCAGTCGCAAGGTCTTCTCAGACCCACCACATCGCACATCATCGCACAGCATCAAGACATCGAAGCTTATCAATCCTCAATTCATGGTGCAGAACAGTAGAAGATATACTCAGCCAGGCGCACCAACGGGCCGTACGTGTCCAGAATGACCTTGCGCATCTTGGACATATCCCATTAGCAGTTGCGATGGGGCTATATAGGCTTCTGAATTGGGGAGGTCACACAGCTGCTAGGCCCACCGCTCTATCCTGTCCACCATGCGGTGCACCATGGGCTGCAAGCTGCCGCTGGAAGGCTTGCTGCAAAATAGGAAGGAAATCCAGGTTCTCCAGTAGCACATTGCCAACCCAGACTCCAGACAGCAAAAGCAAGATCGGCTTCTGTGTAATTGGCATGCAGCGGAGTTTCTCGTACTTGCAGCCTTTCCAGTCGATTGCAAGCACCTCGACGGACTTGCTCCTTGGCTTCGCCTTCGGATTTGCTGCGATCGCTTCAAGGGCTTTCTCTGCCTCCTCAATCACGTGCACAGGATGCCTAGCCCAATCGCACAAGGGCGAGTCCATCCATGTACAAACATCCCGCATCGAAGCTGGGATCCATGCGAAAGCCCAGCCCGCAGCCTCGAAGGCCGTATAGGCCTCAAGACTCAAGCTTCCTCAACAAGACCACCAGCCACCGGCCCGAAGCTTCCTGCAACCATAAACCCTGGCATCCGAAAGCCGAAGCGCCAAAGCCTGCAGTTCTCGACCCACAGGTTCGAGCCGTAAATAGTGGCTTTCCAGCAGGCTCAGGGCCACGTAGGCCAGGAAGAACTCTGTGGCCTTGCATCCTGGGTGAAGCTTGGCTTCAGCCGGGGACTCAGTTCGGCTTCAACGCCTGTGGCACGGATTCAAGCTTGCTGGGGTCAAAGACAGCGGATGGCTTCTGCTGTACTTAGAAGCTCTGCCCTGACCCGCCTAAGCCCGAAATCTCACAGTCGCCATCCAATTGCGGATCGCAGATCTCCTCGTGACAGAAGGCTCAAAGAAGACTTCAGCAAGTCTTGATTTCAGAAGGCCTTCGGATTTGCTCGTTACTCCGGCATGGGGTGCTGCTTCAGGCATAAGAATCACAAAGCCGGTGTTCAGGAAACATGAACAATCTCTGACCCTGCTGCACCCCCCTAAACCCTTCTTCTGCTGAACAGACCCTAACAGAGCCGCTGCAAGGTCTTGGTGCCTGGCCAGGGGGGGGTCTCCGTGCGGCCTCCAGCATGGTCGGACCTAAAGCCCGGTCCCGAATGTTGAGGGGTTTAGGGTTCAGGCCCAGGGTTGTTTCAGGCATGTAGATTTTCCTATGGGTTTCAGCTTGCCTGGGGAAATTTAGGCTGTAGGAGCACGGGTGGCGAAAGTATCAGGATGTTGACAAAGAGAAAGAGAGTCTACGAGAGGTGAGAAGGGGAAACGAGTCCGGGAGAGGCATCGATGGCCAGGGCTTTAGCGACAGGGCAGCTGAGCATGCGAAGCGGATTTGGGAGGGATAGGCTCCGGCAGGATCAAAGGCTCAGCTTTGACCGCCAGCTTAATCAGCCCGGTGCCCTATGGCCCGAGCTGGGAAACTTTTATGCTGGTCTGGTGCGGAAAAAACTTTCATCAATGGTGGGTATATCCCGAAACGCCCCAGCAGGGTTGACGGAGGCAACTCATGCCGAGGCGATGTGATGTCAGAGGGTTTTCAAAAGGATCTTCGGCTTAAGAGGGCTTTAGGGTTGAGGGAGGGGTTTAGGGAGGGAGGGTTCAGGGAGGGGCTCAGGGAGGGTTTGCTTTTCGGACGGATTGTCGGCTCGGGGCGGTAGGTAGATTTCGGCTTGAGGGGGTGAGGTTGCGTTTGGGGAGGTGAGTCGTGGGATTCAAACTAGGTGTGTTGATAAGACTTCTCAAAGAAGCGCAGCAATTGCGGCTTGAAGGCTGGCGATGACAGTACTCCTTCATAGCCCGTATGTCACGACTATAGTCGAACATATCCTGACCCAGCAGCTGCCCCCCTTGCGAGTCATTGAAGGTCTTTCTTCGGACGACCTCAAACCTGAAGCCCCAAGCCTAAACTCCAAGCTGTGGCCCTCCAGAACCCAACAGAAACCAGGGGAGCCCATGTCCTAAACACCCCCGGTCGATCTTGCACAGGGGATTCGTCATCGAACGGCCTCTTGCATCGACATGTCCGCAAAGTCGAACTTACCTCGGAATTCTGTGGTTGTTTCTGTTTATAAGGTTAGGGTTCAGCGTTTGCGGGGTTACCCAAAACCTCAACACCACTATGAGCATGAGAAGAAAAGTTGCAAGCTTTGCAGTCAGCTGCCCTCCAGCCCCGGATTGTCGGGATCCCAGTCTTGCTCGATCAAGTCATGGTGCCGGCTGTCCATGATAATCAGGGGGATGCCACAGGTCACCTGAGCTCAAACCCTCAAGCTCATGGAGACGTGGCCAAGAAACGGCCTATCGGGATGAGCTACACTTTTGCTGACACGAGAAAGAGAAGAAACGATGGTCGTTACGGAATGGAACTTGCAGTTCTCGATTCTCTTAGATTGCCTTCACCGGGTTGTGGGCCCGCCTGGGATGTAAGAGTCACGGGAGGGCAAACTACCGTAGCTTTCACTTTGCCACCTTCGAGAGACATGCACACATCTGCCGACCTCCTGCTATTCTGGCGGGGCACATGGTTCGCCACCTGAACGGAGGAACAAAGGCAGCGGGGCTGATGGTCTTGGGACTTGGATTCTCGAGCCCAACCTGAAGCCCTGATTCCTGTTCTGGTTTCGTGCTAGTCTGGTTTCTCAAATCTTTCAGAACATCCAGGTCAACGCTTCCGACTCGGCTCCACCACTTTAAACACCCCGAACCCCTGAAATGCATAAGGTTAGGGCCTAGGGTTTTCGAGCTTGCGGTTTTGGGCTCAGCCTAAACCTTAAACCCTAGCACACATAACCTAAACCTCAAGCCCAAGCCAAACAAAAAGTGCCCAAAACCCGGTAGCCTTTCGCCGAAAGTGTATCCCGTCAACTTCCATCTACCTAGATGGGCTTGAAAATGTAAGGTTATCAATGAAACCATAAACCCTGAAGCCCTAACCCCTACACCAAAGCCCCGAACCCAACCCTAAACCCTGGAGCCTTACACCCTCAAGCCCCAAAACCCTAAAGCCCTAAAGCCTCAAAGCCGCTCGAAACCCCGTTTCAAACCCTAGATGAGCCTAGATGTGTTCAGGGTTCAGGGCTTATGACTTTAAGGCGTTTACTTCTTTAGGGTATTTTTTGGAGTCTTTAGGGCTTCCGGCTCTCGTGTCTGAGCTTTAGGCCTCGGCTTCAGGGAAGCTTCACATCCAACACTCAACCCCTAAACCCCCAACCCTAAACCCTTAAACACTAAACCCCTATACCCCTATGCCCTAAACCCCTGAACCCCTAAACCCTACACCCCTAAACCCCTAACCCCTAAACCCTGAATCCCGCCTGAGGGCTGAGGGTGTTGAGGTCCCCGCCGGTCCACAAGGCTAGGACCGGCCTCGGCTTCGCTTCCGGCAGCTTGCTGGGCTTAGGGCTTAGGGTTTAGGGTTTAGGGTGTCATGGTGTCAGCTTCCGGATATTAGGGGGGCCTTGGCATCAGAGCCGGGATGTTTAAGCGGAGAATAATGGCGAAGACTGCTTGTTGAGGCCCCCATAGCCATAGTAGGAGGAAGCAGGGGGAGCGGGGCAGATCGAGAGCGAGGGAGAGAGCGAGCGAACGAGCAGGTTTAGGGCTTAGGGTTTAGGGGTTTAGGGGCACGGATGGATGCAATTCTGTGGCATCTAGGCCTCCAAGTGGCAGATACGTGTGCAAAGAGGTGACGAACATGTTCTCAAACTGCACCGCCGCACGAGAGTCGTGAAGGCGTTCCTCGTTCCTGCGCATTGGGATGCTCCAATACAAAGCTCAAAAAGTGAAAACATCCGGTGGGATAGATTGAGGGTTGTGGAGTCTTCAGCGCCTCAAACTGAAGCCTCACCGGAATCCCTCAACACCCTCAGCCCTAATTTCTGAACGCTTGCCTCACGCCCAGAGACCAAAACCCCAAAGCTGTCTGGTTCTTAGTCGGGAATGGGGGAATGGATCCCTATAGTAGCCCCTATATACTCCAGTTGCAGGTGCTTGATGCACCAATTTTTGCAAATTGTCCAGGTAAGCCTGCCACCAAATCCTGGTTCGAAGAGCAAACCCTGCTCAACCAGGTCTCGGTGCGCGTGCTGGGCTTGCCCACGTCATGAGTTGCAAGGCACTCGAACATGCGCGTGCGCCACTGCCGCGCCCAGCATTCATCGCGCCGCCCATTCCACCACTTCTTCACACCAGCATTCACCTTGTCCAAAAAGACCTGCAACACGTCTGGATGCATGACCATGCAAAAACTACCTTCAAACAAACTGCTTGTGGCTGAATCCGCAAGACCTAAGCTTCTGCAGCACCCGCTTCGGCCTCCGTGTTTCCTGGATCCTTCATGACTTGAGCCTGGCATGTCGCCTCGGCCGAGCAAGAGCCTGGTTGGCTCACAACGCTCTCCTGGCAGCAATGACCTGGCAGCTCGATGCAATCGGACTCCACGGCCTCAGGCCACTTCCAAACGCAGGTTCCGTTGTCGTCGCTCTTCGCAGGGGAGCCGCAGCACTTGTGCACCTCCGGCTGCACGGCGACAAAGCCAAGAGACTTCTTGCACTCCTCTGTCTCGGGAATGTCGTCCACGCCGTGCCAAATGTCACAGTAAGCATCGAGCGTCGCCTGATCGGCACCGAAGGAGCCACGCATCACACGGATCGAGAACTTTCCTGGGATGTCCGGCAAGTTGCAATGCAGCAGCTCTTCAAGCTGGGGTGCTGGCCAGTAGGGCTTGTAGGATCCCGAGCCGTTGTCGAAGACCATCTCGTACTCGTCATCCTCGCTCCAAAGCTCCACGTCATGTGCATGCTCCGGATTCTTGTTCACGATCACCAGCTCGCCCGCGTAACGCAGATCCTTGCGTGATCCAGCGTGCATGTTGTGCTTGCTGAGGAGATCGAACTTCATGTTCTTCGACAGCAGCCCGGTGAGTCCCAAGGGGATCTTCAAAGTGTCGAGCATGCCCCCAGTGGCGATCTCCAAGCGCGTGTCCGTCACAGCGTAAGTGAACCTCTGGCGGCCACGGTACTTCACCTGCCCATCGGCTTGCATCACGGCCCGTCGGCCCAGGTCCATCTCTTTGAGGAGGTCCACACCCGTGTTCACAGTGGCTGTGTGCGTCGTGTGCCCAGGTAAGTTCAGCAGAAGCCTCATCAAGCTGCCACCCAAATCCAGCGCAAGGGTGAAGGGGCCCACCTTGATGCCAGTGGCTTCGGCAGCTTCCAATGTGTTGTTGTCATCCTTGTACAGCAGCGAGTGCTCTGCAGCCGTGAAGGCTCGTTTCTTGTAGCTGAGATCCCCACGGAAGACCAGTGGATGGTCCGACAAGTCGAAAATGGAGCCAATGTGGTGCAGCCCAAGTGTGTATGCGCGGAAAACCGCTGTGCCCGTGCCGCCCAGCTGGTTTTTGGTAAAGGGCAGACTGCGAGGGGACGGAAAGGCGTAGATGCCGGGAGCCAGCGCGCGATCTCGGAAGCCACACGTGCCGTTGAGGAGGTCCAGAGTGTCCACCACCCCTCCTAGGCCTCCGTACACACCCTCCATGTTGCCCCAAGAGAGGGCATGCTGGCGCTCCCACACCATCACGCCAAGGTCCTGGAGGTCTTTGTGACTTGGCAGCTTGAAAAGATGGCAGTTAGGGCATCGGATGTCTTCACTTTCGCCTGTCATGTAGTTCCAAGCAACCCCGATCATCACCTGGCAATTGAACTGGAGCTGGCCGTAGCGGTGTGCGAAGAGTTTGTGCCTTCCAGGATCAACGGAAACGGACGACCAGGACGGACGACGGACAACCGACGACGACGACCATGAGGAACACCATTCCGATCAGCGCGATGAGGATATGATGAGCCGGAGATAGAGATTGACTAACGATGGTGCCGATGACTGAGATGAGTTTGAAGAGGAGGATGACGGCAGGCAACAGGCTGGGCCGTGCGACGGAGGTAGTTACGTAGTCGCATAGATATATCTCATCTCCTTAACAGTTTAGATGTGGGCAGCCAAGCTGCCAGGCCCTCAGGAAGGAGAAGACCTGCTGCTCGGAGACTTCAGAGGACAGGTGACTCTCACGCCAAATGGACTTGGGCGCGAAGGAGGGATTCTTGGCCTTGGCTTCTTTGAGCTCCTCCTTGGTCATAGTTTGGCCCGAATTCATCTTCTTGGAGGTCTTTACGTCCTCGTACGGGATGCGAAGCACGAAGATGGCCCCCAGATTCAGACGGGAGCCAGGTTTCTTAGGGTCTCGTACGGTGTGCAAGTCCACGGCCAACATGGGCTCCTGATCACCGAAGTCCAAGATCAGCTGAGAGTGCTGACCTCCCACGGCTCCCAGAGTACCGGTGGTGGTCCGAGTGATCTCGAATATGGACCTCACCATGCGTTCCGGGCTCCCGAGCGGCAGCACGGGCGACTTTCCGCTTCCCAACTTGTCGTCGTAGACAAAGTCCCCAGACACCAGCTGCGCCAAGACGAACGCCGCGGCCACGAATCGGCCACCCATTGTCGGAGACATGAAGGCAAACAAGGGAGTGGTTTCCCTGGAGGAATTGTCAGACAGAGAGATTTCTGAGCACAGAGAAAGCTGCTGCAGGGCCCGGGAACATCAAGAGTATGCATTGTCATCAACTGACACCCTGCGTGCACCCAAACTCCCAAAACAGGGCATGGCACGCTGTGCACAACCTCACGGAGGCTGAAGTGCGTGATGCGTCGCTAACGGAGGTGAAACCTTCTGCATCCCTCAGGCTTGAGACACTTTGGTTGAGGGGAACGCAGAAGGGGGCAACGGTCTGTCAGGCAAAGGTTGACCCTTCGACGAAGTTCGTTTTTTCAAAAACCCTTCGGCGAACTTCTGCGAACGTTTTGGGGGTTCGTGAGGGGTTCGTGGGTTGTTCGGTTACAAGATAAAGTTCTGATATGTTGTTAAAATTCCCAAGTATATTAAAAGCTTCAATAAGAATTTACGACACTACACCCCGGATAGTCTGTGAAGTTTATATGTCAGCGAGATGAAATGATGATGATTTGCCACGCCTTTTTCTCTTCATCTTGCAGGGATTTCCTGCGAATGTCTTTCCAAAAATACGGAGTTTCTTGCGTTACTCTGGCTCATTAGCAAAAATTCTTGCCAGGGCCCGACAGTCGTTCAGTGCAGGTCCAGGAAGTGCAGAATCCTGGCGGGCGGGAGTGTAAAATCACAAATGAGGTGCGTCAAAAGGCTTGTTGCCTGGCAACCCGTTTTCTCTCTTGCGACTTCTGCGGCCAGTGACTAAGGCAGCGTTTTATCGCAAACGGCCCGGCAAGGCGGTTGATCGCCAAAACTTGCCAGGTTCAGCGGCCGAGGACTCGATTAAAATTTCTTGCCTTCAGAAACAGCGGCAGCGGAATTCGGCAGAGTCAGGCCGGGGCGCTCTTGAAATACTTCCCTGCTCTCTGACCTACAGTCTCGGAAGACTCAGAGGCAGGGGTAACCCGAGAACACAAAAGCATGTGACACCAACTTTCAGCGATGCATTTTTTATGTTAAAAATAATAATGCTTCTTCTGTGTTCTTGCCCCTTAAACAATCTCAGTCAAGCTTACTTTGGCGATCCTCGCCCTCCTGATGCTGGCGACTTGATCGAGCTGACGGGCGATCCGGCGAGGGTCTTCGGACTCTTGCTAGGCGACGACTTGGAATTGATCTTGCGCTTCGGCGTCCGCGGGGGAGGGTTCTTGCCGTTCCCAGCTGCCGGTTGAAGCGCAGTCTCCGATTTCGCCTGCCACGATTTCGTCTTCTTGCCATCACCAGAACCGGCTTCGGGGGAGGAACCCGTCGGGCACTCCTTCAGAAAGAACGGGCTCTCGGGCAAGGTCTTGCCCTCGTTGATGTTGGAATTCAGGATCTTGCACACCGAGATGTCCACCAACCCAGCACCTGACGGAATTGCTATGCAACGAACAACTGAGTTGGAAGAAGTGGTTTCAACATGTTCTGAATAGACGAGAGAACTAGAGAAGCGCGTGCTTAGATAACTTGATCTGAAAGATTCGCACATTGCAGCTGAGAAACTCAAGGATGTGTTGAAGTTTCTTGCGCACATGACCTTGATGTTGTCGATGTTCTGCATCTCCGGCGGAAGCTTAAACATCAAGTCGGTCTGCATGTACCGCAACTGACTCTTGCCGTCGTCCTGCTTCTCCAGCCTCCAGTAGCTGCAGGAGGGATCGTCACAGAACTCCTTGAGAACGCGGACTCTTGGGCTTGGGTGAATTTAAGGCCAACCGATCCGACAAACAAGGCAACGGTTAAACCGAATTCATTCAACTTGAATTTTCACTGACTTGGACTCACGACCCCAGCCGCATGTTGGGCCTAAGAGGCTGAGCAATGAACAGGCGGCGGAAAATCACGATGTTGCCGCAGGATGCCTTACTTAGGCGGGTTAAACGAGTAGGTCCTGGAAGGTCGTCTCTGGCCCCCGTGGCTCCCAGGTTTCTAGCCGGCTGCCGTAGTCTGTGAAGCGCTTCATCATGAAGTCCTCAAGCGCGACCATGCTCTTGCTCGGCAACGCGCTGTTGACGTCGCAGTGAGTGATGAACCTACGGCGAGTGAGGTGTTTTGCACTTTTCTTGCTTCGGCAGAGGCAAAGAAGATTTGAATGAAAGATTGTTTTACATGTACTACTGATTCACAGCCAAGCTACGCGAGCAGGGTCGCCAGGAAAGCACGCTCTATCTTGCATCTGAAGTTCTTCTGCTGTTTGTCCAAGAACGACATCACTTTGGGAATCATCTTGCAAAGCAGCGGTCGCGTTTGCTCTTGCCCAAGCAATCGGAACTTGTTCATGTAGGGCTTCAGCTTCTGCTCCGACGAGTCGTCGTCGCCCACGATCTTGCCGGAGTCCAGCGAATCAAAGCTTCCCATACCTTTATGCCACGTGCGCTCTAAAGACAATGAATCACAGTCAGTCATTTCACTCAAGTTCAACTGAATTTAAAGAACCTAGCTCGCTAAAGCTTCACAGTACTATTTTTCTTTCCCAAACATACCCAAAAAAACGAAGAACTAAAATTCTCAGCGACTGAAGCCCCGATGGATGTGTTCCAGTGCTTTCGGCCGTAGGGCAAACCACGCATCGAGCTCCTGCCTCATCGTGACCAGTCTGTTCTCTTGCGCTTCAAGATTCGCTTTCTGCTCTTTGCGCAAGGCTTCCTCCGCCTTGTCCTCAGTTCACGAATATTCGGACATGTGATTAGCTTGATTGATGGGATCATATGTTTAAAGTTAAGGGGGGTCGGAAGGTTGAAGTGTAGACGCCTTGCTTGCAGACAAAACACTTTCAGCTTCTTCTCCTTCGAAAGCGCCTTCTCTTGCACTGCCTTGGTTTTTGACTGGATGCAGCTCTTCTTCGGGGCCATGGCTGCGCAAGCTCGGCCAGCAGGAAACAAAATTATCCAAGACTGAGATGCTTCAAGGCTTCTCTTACTTGCTATCGAGCCGGACATGTCACCGGCAGTGATGACGGCTGGGCCGGTGCAATTTCTCATCTCTCACAACCTCATCGCAGACAAACAGGCTTCCCTGCAGTGTCGTTTCTGAATCTGGCCGAAACAATCCAACAGGAGGCGGGCAGACCTTGCAAGCGACGTAGGTCTCTTGCAGGATAGACCGGTGGAACCGGCACCTGTTAGTGTCTGACTGTGTCTGATTGGATTGGTTTGGCTTACTATACATCAGAATGTGGAAACCAAGGACAATCGCAAAAGCTGCGAGCATCGATCCAGCGCAGGTGAGTTAATAATTTCAACTATTGACTTGAATAAGCATCCGCACACCGTCTCTATGCTCGCAGATGCGTACAGGCGCAAGCGTGCATGTATGTTTACGTTTGCGTATGTGGGTGGGCGCTACTATACAACTTAATAGTTTATTAATAAATTGTGCGTGCATGCGGTTGTGACCGGTCGCACTCTGGGTTCGCGGCAGGAGGACTCTGGCCAGACCAGTGTAATCAGCAGGGCAGGAAACTCTCGCAGGAGTCTCCGCCTGCAAGCGTGGTGATATGCAAGACCCGGAAGCTTACTGTATTAAAAATTGTTATTATGAAATATGCATTCATTCGTTACTTCAAGACAGTCAGGAGTAGTAGTCGTCGTCGTAGTAGTAGCACTAGTTATTAAGTACTAGTAGTAATAATAATCGTCGTTTACTAGCTAGTTTAGGGTTTGCTTTTGTGCTGAATCTGGGCAGAGGAACTTACGGAAGGTCTGGCTACGAGGGTGCCACTCCTTTACTTCCAAAGACTCAGATTTGCAGATTTGAGCAAAGAAGGAGAATCTTAACTGAGTCTTACTGGCCTTGTTTCGGTTGCAACTTTCGAGTAAATTACATTATTACATTATTATGTCTGCAATTATTGCTTGGATGCATCTTGCGGATCTTATGGGTCTTGCGAGTGGGCGACTTAGGGGGGGAGTGCCCATACCCTAAACCCTAAACCCTAAACCGGAATTATTATTAAATTACTGAAACAGAGCTTCAAGATCAGTCCCAAAGACCCCGAAACCAAACTTGAAAGCCCGGGAAAGAAGCCCAGCCCCTGAACGAACTATTGTAAGTGCATTGTATTAATCATGTTTGCGCTCTTGCTTCTTACTTATGCTAATATTAATTTAATAGGGTTTAGGGTTCAGGGGTGTAGGATAAGAGAGAGAGAGAGAGAGAGAGAGAGAGAGAGAGAGAGAGAGAGAGAGAGAGAGAGAGAGAAAGAGAGAGAGAGAGAGAGATCTCCGCCGGGTCGATGTCGATGTGGAGTCCGCCAGTCCCAGCCGAACACTCGGAATTGGTGTCGGCAGCTGCTAAGTAGACGAAGTCTCGCAGCCCGGCAGCCAGCAGATTACAAGGATCCACGAACGGATCCATGGAGGCCTTCTGCCAAGGGCATCCTCCAGCGAGACGCGAACCAGGTCCAATGTGAGGAGAAAGCCTTTTTGCCTGGGCGTCTTCTGGTAGCGGAAGTCAAACTTCCCGACCATGCGGTTGCACCAGGTCCGGTTGCTCCACGATGGAATTGGCATTGTACCCTCCAGTGCTTTCGGAGTGGGGCTAACTACGGTGTTCCCCTGGGCGGACAACCCTAGTATGTCTAGAGAAGAAAGGCCCGCCTAAGAAACCTTCCTCCGCCAAAGGGACCACCCACTATTTTAAAGGTTTCTTAAAACAACACCCCCTACACTACACCCAATTCACCCAATGCCTTAGCCATTTAATTAGTTCGGAGGAGGCACGGTGGAGTCCTACACCGGGGATTCTATTTCAGGAGCCGGAAGGCGAAAACTGAAGCATCCCCAGGGTCGAAATGATACCCTCCGAATGTGAGTTCGGCCTCCTGAAGTGAAGAAACTGAAACATTAAATCAAGGCTTTCTGACAGGGCCCCATAATGCTTCGGCAAGGGAATCTTACGCAGTCGAGGTCCACCCTGAAACGGCTCCTGACATACCATTCGGCAACGGGTTG